GGGACCCTGGAGCCCTGGGCCCTGCGTCGGACACAGGTGTTACATCACTTGGGCTTTCAGGCCTCAGCTTTCTCGTTTAAAGCAACCTAAATACGGACCTTTTTTTTTTTTTTAACTATAATTTTCTTGAGAAGATTGTTTAAAATGGGAAAGCACAGAGAAATACCAACACGTGCAGGTCCTCCAATCAGAAGAGGCATTGTTACTGCTGTGCAATTGTTCCAAGTCTTGTTTTTAAGTCCTATGTGAAGCCAAGCACCAAGATGCAGGCACCATTAGCCCCCTTGGTGCTTCCTCTGTAGTCCCCACCCCCAGCCTGCCCCAGGGACAACCACCTGTAAGAACTGAACTCCCTTTTAGCCTTCTGCCTACTTATAAACAATATGGAGAATATGTAATGTGGGCAGATGCATTTGATTTCGTTCTGCACTTCTTCTCTGACACTGGTTTTTTTGTTTTGTTTTTCCCACTCCTTGTTGCTGTGGTTTGCAGTCCCTGAGTTAATCTCTATGATGATCTAGTTCATTCATTCCAATCATGTCTGGCATTGGATTTGATGACTTCTCAGCCTTCCACTTGGTTGTAATGCTGTGCCAGTGGGTCACAAGCTTTATATTAGAATCATCTGGGCACTTTAAAAACGCATGTGCCCAAGCCCCATTCCGTGAGAGTCTGATTTCTTGGTCTAGGAGCCAGCTGGGCATAGTTTTTATTAGAAACCACTATAGAGAGATTTTTTTAAAAATTTATTAATTTGTTTGGAAGTCAGAGAGAGAGAGAATCTGTTGTCTGCTGGTTTACTCCCCAAATGGCCCTAACAATCAGGGCTGGGCCAGGCTGAAGCCAGGAGCTCGGAACCTTATTCGGGTCTCCCACATGGGTGCAGGGGCCCAAGTACTTCAGCCATCCTCTGCTGCTTTCCCAGGCGTATGAGCAGGGAGCTGGATGAGAAGTGGAGCAGCCACCACTCCGACTGGTGCCCAGAAGGGATGTGGGCGTCACAGGCAGTGGTCTAACTGGCGACGCACAACACAGGCCCCTGTAGGAAGCTTTAGCATGCAAGGAGTTCAGGAACCATGCCCTCAGGGGATTCTGTGCTTCCGGGAGGAATTTCAGCTGCCTGCCTTGCCCGTCCTGGTGATTAGAAGCAGCTTCATATAGAATTATGCCAACCAATATGGATGTTCTTAGGAAAATCCCTAAAACCTGCTGATGGCTGAGTCTGAGGGGGTGGCAAGAGTCTCCCTCGCTTTATCTTTTATTTATTTATTTTTGACAGGCAAAGTGGATAGTGAGAGAGAGAGAGAGAGACAGAGAGAAAGGTCTTCCTTTGCCGTTGGTTCACCCTCCAATGGCCGCCGCGCTGATCCGATGGCAGGAGCCAGGTGCTTCTCCTGGTCTCCCATGCAGGTGCAGGGCCCAAGGACCTGGACCATCCTCCACTGCACTCCCGGGCCACAGCAGAGAGCTGGCCTGGAAGAGGAGCAACCGGGACAGAATCCGGCGCCCCGACCGGGACTAGAACCCGGTGTGCCAGCGCCGTAAGGCGGAGGATTAGCCTAGTGAGCCACGGCGCTGGCCTCCCTCGCTTTATCTTACGGCCACACGTGTGGTGTCTGTGGGCTCCGGGAACAGGTCTTCACGTCTGCTCCCTGGACAGAATGGAGAGCTGCCTGTTGAGGAGCCCATCACCAGTTAAGGTAGAAAACCTGCGCGAGTGGACTGTGAAGGAGGCAGATGAATCCCTTTCTCCCTAGTGATGTGGCATGAAAAGAAGACCCGTGTACTTCCACAGAAAACAGTGGTTCCTCCGTGTTCTGGGTTTCTGTGCTAAGCCTTGCCTCCTCACAGAGAGGCAGGTAGCAGCTCTGCTGCGGAGAGGAATCGCGGAAGCCTGGCCCTGCCTTCTAGAGGCCTCTCTCTGGGGCAGAGTTCAGGCGCCGGGTGACTGCGATGGTATCTTCTGCTCTGTGCTGTGCTTTCTCTCTTCTCCATTCTTTATGCTAGCCTCGGAGGCAATTACCTGAAAAGAGCTACACAGAACACCACAGCTCAACTCTCTGCCCTTCTTTAACACATTCAACAAATATTTACTGAGTGCTTATTCGGTGCCAGCCGCTGCGCTAAGTCATGGGGATCCCATGGGCCCAAGAGTCACAGAATTTGTCCTTTCATTCTTGCTTGGGGTAACAAGGCCAGCGAGCAGAGAACTGAGCACTGTGTATATAACGTGCCGCAGTGACCCACCCGGAGCCAAGCTGCCCTGGACAGACAGAGGAAACCAGGCGGGGAGAAATCAGCTTCGTCTTGGGGACGTAGGCTCTGGTGATGTCGTACTATTTGATGTCGCCTCCACATGCGTTTTGGGTAAGTTGGACTTGCTCATCCCAGCACCGGGGCTCAGTCACCCTTGACGCCGTTTCCAGCTCTGCACCTCCTCCCGGTTCCTCAACATGACGGATCTCCGTGTCCGTCTCATACAGCTTCCTCCTGGTCACCACTTTGCCGTGGGATAGCTCCACACAGCCTTCCTGAGAGGCCCCGCAGAGCCTGCGCCCCTGTGGACTATGCAGCTACGCCTCAGTGACAACCTCGCCGTCACAGCACAACTCCTGTAATTCATGCCTGCCTGCTTTAGGGTTGCCAATTAAAACTCCCCTGGAAAACCCTGTTTGGAAAACGCCCTGGACTCAAACAAGCCATTGGCCCATGGAGCCTTCCTTCTAGCTCCCTGACCTCCATGTGTGGCCTCCAGGCGTGCTGTGTGCCCCAAGGATCTGTGAGTAATGAGATCTTTATTTACATCGATGTCTCAATCATTGGAGGGGTCTTAAAGAGCTTACATTAAAACAATGGGCACGGTTGGCAGGGACACTTCCTGGGGCAGTTCTCAAACGTGGGTGTGCATGAGATCACCTGGGAGACTTGTTAAAACAGCCTGCTGGCCCTCATCCCAGAGTCTCAGAGCAGTAGGTGTGGGTTGAAGCCTGAGAATTCACATTTCTAACCAGTTCCCATGCGATACCGATGCCGCCACTCTGGAGACCACAGTTGGAAAACCTCTGTCTTAGAGGGACCAGAGTCTCAGCCTTTGCTACTCAAAGTGGTTTTTGCAGCTCAGAAGTATCACCATGGACCTCAGCTGGGTGCCAGTGAGAGGCAGAATTTCAAGCCCTATCCCAGATGTACTAAGTCAGAATCTGCATCCAGGTGAGGGTATTTGGCAGTGAGGTTAAGATACTGCTTGAGATGCCCATGTCCCATATCGAAGTGCCAATTTTTTTTTTTAAGATTTATTTATTTGCAAGTCAGAGTTACACAAAAGAGAGGAAGAGGCAGAGAGAGAGGTTTTTCATCTGCTGGTTCCCTCCCTAATTGACCACAACAGCTGGAGCTGCACCGATCCAAAGCCAGGAGCTTTTTCCATGTCTCCCATGTAGGTGCAGCACGTGGGCTATCTTCCACTGCTTTCCCAGGCCACATCAGAGAGCTGGATAGGATGTGGAGCAGCCAGGACTTGAACTGGCACCCACATGCGATGCCGGCACTGCAGGCTGCTGCTTTACCCGCTACACCATAGCACCAGCCCCAGTGCCTGGGTTTAAATCCAGGTTTGCTCTGTTTTGACTTTCTACTAATGTGCACCCTAGGAGGCAGTAGGTGATGGCTCAAGATGTGGAGTACCTGGCTCCTGGCTTTGCCCCTACCCCTGATGAAAGATTTGGGGAGTAAAGCAAGAGATGGGGGTTTCTCTCTCTCCCTCCCTCCCATCAATTTTATGAATCAATAAAAAATTTCTTTATAAGAGTTACAGAGAGAGGTAGAAACAGGTCTTCCATCCGCTGGTTCACTCCCCAATTGGCTGCAACGGCCAGAGCTGCACCGATCCAAAGCCAGGAGCCAGGAGCTTCTTCTGGGTTTCCCACATGGGTGCAGGGGCCCATGGACTTGAGCCATATTCTGCTGCTTTCCCAGGCCATAGCAGAGAGCTGGATCGGAAGAGGAGCAGCCAGGACTAGAACCAGCACCCATGTGGGATGCTGGCACTTCAGGCCAGGGCTTTAACCTGCTGCACCACAGCGCCGGCCCCATGAGTCAATAAAATTCTTAAGATGTGCATCAGTATCACCAGGTGATACTTCTGCACATTAAAGTTTGAATAACGCCTGCCTGAACCTGTCTGCCCATTGGAATTGTTCTCAACCCTGTCTGCTCACTGGAATCACCTGGTGAGTTTTAAAAGTTCACCAGACCTGGATTCCATTACCAGAGATTGTGGTTTAATTCGTAGTGGAATGAAAAGCTCTCCCAGCCAATGTAATGTGCAGCAAATTTTTTTTAAAACTTTTATTTAATGAATATAAATTTCCAAAGTACAGCTTATGGATTACAATGGCTTCCCCCCCATAACGTCCCTCCCACCTGCAACCCTCCCCTTTCCCACTCCCTCTCCCCTTCCATTCACATCAAGATTCATTTTCGATTCTCTTTATATACAGAAGATCAGTTTAGCTTACATTAAGTAAAGATTTCAACAGCTTGCTCCCACACAGAAACATAAAGTGAAAAATACTGTTTGAGTACTAGTTACAGCATTAAATCTCAATGTACAGCACACTAAGGACAAAGATCCTACATGAGGAGTAAGTGCACAGTGACTCCTGTTGTTGACTTAACAAATTGACACTCTTGTTTATGGCATCAGTAATCACCCTAGGCTCTTGTCATGAGCTGCCAAGGCTATGGAAGCCCCCTGAGTTCACTGACTCTGATAATTTTTAGACAAGGCCATGGTCAAAGTGGAAGTTCTCTCCTCCCTTCAGAGAAAGGTACCTCCTTCTTTGATGACCCGTTCTTTCCACTGGGATCTCACTCGCGGAGATCTTTCATTTAGGTTTTTTTTTTTTTCCCCCCAGAGTGTCTTGGCTTTCCATGCCTGAAATACTCTCATGGGCAATTCAGCCGGATCTGCATGCCTTAAGGGCTGATTCTGAGGCCAGAGTGCAATGTGCAGCAAATTTTGAAAGCCAGTGGCTAAGCTAAAAGCAGCCAGGGTAGAAGTTAGCACTCAAAGGCAGGCAGGCAGGTGGAGTGTGTGCAAGCTCAGTGGCTTCAGTCAATGGAATGGGGTTCAGTGAGCTCAGAGCACAGAATTACAGAGGGAAAGTGACGAGTTGTGAGGCTGGAAGTTTAGTGACCAGCGGTAGAAGACTTTGAGTTGTGCCCCATGGCTGATCACACTCGGATTCCTATTTTGAAAGAGATCAATTTGCCGGCTATGTGAGAATAAGCTTGCAAGATAGAGGAAAAATGGCGCCTGGGGTGATGGCTGGGATTTCCTTGAAAAGGTCTTACTGAAAAAGAGTGCTTCCAGGGAACACTGCTCTTTAAAGATGAGGGCAAGAGTGTGGGTGTGGGAACAAAGAAACACAATACGAAAGGGTAACAGAATATACTACAGCAAAATAGGCCTCTTTGGCCTGAGTATTATTTTGAGCTGAAAGGCAAGAACAGATACAAGAAGAGCACTCTACTTAAAAGCAGGACATAAATTTGTGTAGCTGTCCCCCTCCTCTGTCTACCAGGAAGGAGAGATGGTGGTCACTGTAGACAACCCTGGAGCCCTATCGGCCCAGAGACCAGAGCACCGGAAGAATCATAACAAACCCTGTCAAAAATCATTACCGTTCATTACTTTCCCCATCTTTTTGCCATCCCCATTTTGCCTGCTTCCACAAGCTCAAGGTCATTTTCTTTTGTCACACCCCTACAAATTTAGTATTCTTCTGTTTACTATAGAAGTCCAAAATCTAACCACCACTCTGAGTTTCTCAATACTGAGTACCCCCACGTTCATCTGAGATGCTGCACATGCTTATAAACTGTTCATTTTATCTTGTTAACTTTTTAAAAATCTGATTTACAGGGTGCCAGCAGGAGAACCTAAGAAAGGTAAAGGATAATGATTTTTCCCTCCCCAACAGTACCAACAAAACTGTAAGATCCCGTTTTGGCACTTGGGCATCCATTGTTTGGTTTTACCAATATTTTCTGAACACTGTGTATAAGGCCAGAGCTGTGGGAGAAGAATCCTGCTCCCTGATAGTCTGTCTTAGCAAAGAGTAGCAAAGCGAGGCACTGGGACAAGCAAGTGATTTTTCCAAAGAGCATTAGTTAGAGTCTCGTTGAAGATTTGACAGTGCCTTTAAATGGGAGGATTCTGTGCCATCCAACTCCACTTAAGCCCTCAGCTAAACCATCAAATGGCCCCATTCATGCTGCAGCTGCAGGATTCCTGAGGCCATGCCAGAGAGCACCAGGAATGCAAAGGAGGGCTCAGTCTTGGCTTCTGACACCCTGTGAGCTTTGAGGAATAACAAGTAGGCATTTGTTAGGGGATGGCCCACAAAGGCACCACAGGAGAGGAGATAGAATGCCCCCACGGAATTCCAGGCCAAATGCAAAATGCTGGGCTAATCTCTGCCAGCACAGTTTGTGTGACCTCACTTGCTCGCTGGCTGTGGAGGCTGCTCATGACTTAAAGCAGGGTCCCTAAGTAGAGTGGCGGTGACAGTTCTTCAGGAATGGGATTGGCACCCTGGAACTCAAAATGTGAGGACCCTTAGACAAAGGCCAGGTGAAGGAAACAAAGGCTTTGCAAAGGCAAAAAGAGGCTGAAATCATCTTTTGCTGGTGTCCCTAAGCCATTCATCCCCACCCATACCCACAAGGGAGGTGGTGAAAAAGAACACAGGCCACAGGTGGGATTCCCTTTAAAATCCTCTACAAAGCAGCAGAATATCAAGTCCTTTCTATATCATTCTTTGTGGCATCTAATTTTCCCAGTAATTCAGATATTGTGATTTGTTCCTGAAGTTGGATTCTGCTGGCAATTACCAGTAATCCAGTTGCTTATGCTGCTTACAGGCTGTGTTCAGATGTCACTTACCCATCTCCCGTTGAGCTCTAGATATTAGTACTTTTGCATATTATAGGGTGACTTAGATCATGTACAAAGAACAGAATTTCTTATTCTCAGCGCTGTTGACAGTTTGGACCACAGAGGTCTTTGGTATGGAGGGCTATCCTGTGCACATAGTATTTTATTAGTATCCTTGGCCTCCATTTAGTAGGTGCCAAATAGTACTCCTCGCAGTTTTGTGGCTGAAAATACCTCCCAACATTGCCCCTGGTTTGGAACACTGGTATAGAATGAAAGAGGGAAGACCATAGCCTTGGGTGGATTTTCACCTTCGACCTAGATACTACATAATACTAAAACAGCAAGCCACATGTGTGGTGGGTCAGTTTAGTTATATCAGTCCAATGGCATATTAAATTACATTCAGTGGCCATTGTCTGTGCTTTGATGATGTGCTTAGTATTGCTCTAGGTGCACACATTACCAGAATGATTTGATTAAACAATAATGCCCCCAAATTGCCTCTGGAGCAGCTTTAATGGTGGTACATAGGAGGTATCAAGGAGCTGCAGAATATAAAAGTCATTTTCATCTGAACTCTGAGATGGAAATGACTTTTCCCATGTCTGAAAGTTTCAAGATCCTTCTCTCATTGTCATAGTGCAAAAAGGTGGCTGATCACACAGGAGAAATAGAATTAATAAAGTGAACTTGGATAGAAAAATTCAGGTGATCACACAGATAGATCCTTAATGCTACCGATTTTTTGTTTTTCTATCTTCATTAAGCAGAAGAGCAAGCAGGCTGTATCTCAGAGAGCAGAAAATGAAGTCCAACAGAAGCAGGAGGAAGGCTTGATCTCTTGAGCAACTCAAAAAATTGTACAAGCAAAGGAGGAGAAAATTCTCATTGCCACATCAACTCTGTAAGGGAAGGGATTTCTTTTCTTTCTCTTTGTTCACATCTGTATCCAGGTTTGTATTCCTAATGCCTGGAACAATGCCTCATACTCAGAGGTACCCAATAATATTTGTTAAATGAATTCAGCAATTATTAATAAATGACCTGAAATAAGAATCTGAAAACCTCAGTGGTTTCCAGATCCTGTGGGATCTCCTGAGAAGATATAGATTTTACTAGCACTAAGATGATTCTCTCAACATGCTCAAAGACCAAATATATCCAAATGACTCTGGAGAGAGCTTGAAAGGGCTCCCAAAACTCAAATTTAAACAAATGGAGAGAAAAAATATGGGCATTGGATTATAGTACATTGAACACAAATCCATAATGATACTCAAGAAGAAAAAGGGTCAAAATGTGTTGAAACCTGTTTGTTTTTATTCTAAAAGGAAGGAGTTTAAATAAAAAGTACTGATTGAATTAGAACATCTCTACTTTGAAACATCAGTGTAATCTTTAGTCCAGCCATAGATATTTCTAAAGACATTGGGGAAAGTTATGAGAGATCATAATATTTAGATTGTCTCAAATATCACCCCACAGGTGACTGGTTTACCACAAAAAGGAAAGACAACTGCACTGGTGCGACCTAGCAGATTCTAATCTAACCAAATGATCAAACTAGCACTACTGGTAGTAGAATATGATGCTTGCTATCATTCAGGGGGAAATATATTTTGCCACTATAATCATTGTCTAATGTTGCATGATAAATACCTCAGGAAGCTTGTGGTTTAAAACCATAGCCATCATTTATTCTATCTCACATCTCTGTGGGGAATTCAGGAAGGCTTTGGCTAGGAGCTTCTGGTTTGAAGTCTCTCATGAGGTTGCAGCCTATTGTCAGCTGGAGCTATAATAATCTGAAGTCTTGAGGGGGGATGGATTATCCACTTCCAAAAAGCCACACGGCTGGCCATCTGAGTTGGAAAGTTGGTTGTTTTTGACTTGAGCATCTTCCCAGGGTGGCTTGATTGTCTTTCTGGCTTCCCTTTGATCTAGTGAACCAAGAGCTCCAGGCAGGAGCCAAAATGCCCTTATAACCTAGGTCTTAGAGTTACACATTATCATATCCACAGCATGCTCTTGGTGACAGGGGCCAGCCCCTGATTTAACGGGGCAGAGATTGAACAATGGCATGACCAACAGGAGGTGGAGATCTTCGGGGATGATTTAGAGACTTGCTTTCACAGTCACTCATAATCTAATCAACAGGAAATTGTGAAAAAAGGCAAGATGCACAACATTCTGCAAGATGTTTTCAAAAAAAAAAAAAAAACCGTCATAGGAGTTACTTTTAAAAGCAGAATTGTTCTCAATTAAAAGACACCGAAGAGCAAGGATAGCCAAATGTAATGTATGATTACATGTATGTTACATGAGTAACAAACTGAAACATGTCTAGAAAGTATGAAATTAATCAGCAAAAAGGAAGCACTGATACGCCCTATAGGGTGGATGATTCTCAAACTAGCCTGAGAGGAAAAAACCTCAGATACACAAACCGTGTGACTTAATTTATATCAAGTTTAACATGAATCTACGGTTGCTTTTGGTGTAAAAAGGATTGATTAGGAAGAGGGTATATTCTGGGGTCTTAGAAATGCCTTTGTCTTAGTAGGGGCATGGATTATACAAGTACATGTGTTTTTCAAAATTGAACTCCACACTTAAAATTCATGTATTTCACTATATGTAAGTAATAACTCAAACATTTACTTTAAAATTGTATATCAATGTTAAATTACTTGGATATAATAATAATACTGTGTTAGAAAATGCGCTCTAGTGGATAAAGCATCATGAGGTTTGCAACTTGTTTTCAAGGGGTCTGCAGTAGGTGAGAGATACATAAATCAAATGAGTAGTCATTGAACAACTGGGAAATCTAAGTGGAGGAGAGACAGTACTTATTGTACTTTTTAAGACTTTTCTGTATGTCTGAAAAATTCCCAAATACTAATCGTGAACAGGGTGTGTCAGCATAGTGAAAATAATTCTCTTAACTCTCATTTCCTCAATAGGAAGAATAGGAAACAAATTAATACCACTGCATATTTTCCCTTGAGTGTTATGTGTAAGCATGCCCAATTCTTCTGTATAGTTCTTACAATGAAATGTTAAGTTTAGCTATTCAACTCATCATTTTGACAGGGCTAAAAGCTTTTTAAATCATAGCTTCAGAAGAACATTGGTCAAAAGTATCAGGAGATATGGGATGCCTTGCAGTAATTTGCTGGGCTACTACTTAGATTTAATGAGGTCCTATCTAACATTTATTAGAAATACACAGTGCTTCTAAACTTACCTAAACTTTTATTATTTTTCAAATCCTTTCAATAACCTGGAAACATCTGTTTCCCAAGCTTCTGCACAGACTGAATTGGTAGATCAAATGATTTGCCAGTTGATCAACACTAGATCTGATTTGCATTTCAGGATTGTCAAGCATGAACGGGGTCCATGAGCAGGCGAACAGGATGAGTTGGTGGAGTTACTGCCGTGTCACAGGTGAGAAAGGTCAGGTGCCTCACCTGCGCTTGGATGACATCCCATTGAGGGAAAAGGCAGAGTAGCGTTAATTCATTATGCAAATGATACCGTCTGTCAGGAAGTCAGCCGGATGAGAAAGCAAAGATGAGAATTTATGGAGTAAATGTGTGAAAAGAAAAGGCTTTGCCAGGTTCAGGAGAGGTTTACTACAAAGATTTGTCTCAGAGGAAATGCAATCAGAAAAATGCAGGCACTATATTCCGGTGCCCTAGGCTTAAAAGGCAATGGGAAAAAAAACATTTTTCTGTTGCACGATGCATGTGATAAGTGAATAGGTGAGGATGCCAGACGGAGCTTCTGCCAAGGAATTAGCACGATGGTCATGGAAGCTGCAGGAAAGACTTGGGGCCCCAATGGAAAAACACTGTGAAGACAACCCTACATGGTTGCCTAATAATGAGAAAAAGCTAGTTCTTTCCTGAACTACTTTCTGCTTCTGAGTGAGTAATCACCGTGAGAAGTCATCTGTGTGATACATTAAGGATGCTGTCAAATTGTCTTTCTCCATGAAGGTGACGATTGTCTTAGAAAACCTAGAGGCACAGCTGCTTCTACACAGAAATGGAGCATGGAGTCACCAAGGCATGGAACCTAAGATACTTAAATGTGCTCCAAGCCTGGCTTTTAATTCCCACCGCAGAATCACTCCTAGGGGCTGCAACACATGAATTTAGAAAGCGCTTTGAGTTTACAAGCACTTTCCATACACTTCAGCATCTGGACTTCCCCGCTGGGAGAAGCCTGAATAATGGGGACGTAAACCTGTTCTTACAATGGGGGTATTCAAGCTCCAAGCCCACAATTACCTAGCCAAGATTCAAGTTCCACTTTCCCATTCCTCTTTCCATTACGCTGCTGGACAGACAGGGTGTTATGGCTAGGTGAGGAGAGATGGCTCTAGGAGTGCCTTTTAGACTCCCTTCAGTAGGATGGCTTGGATAGGTTAGGAATTTTTTTCCTAAAGATTTATTTATTTATTTATTTGAGAGAGTTACAGAGAAAAGGGGAGACAGAGAGAGAGAGAGAGAGAGAGATCTTCCATCTGTTGGTTCACTTCCTAAGGGGCCACAATGGGCAGAACTGGGCTGATTTGAACCAGCAGCCAGAGCTTCTTCTGGGTCTCGCACATGGGTACAGGGGCCCAAGCACTTGAGCCATCTTCTACTGCTCTCCCAGGCCATTAGCAGGGAGCTGGATTGGAAGTGGAGCATCTGGGACTCGAATTCACACCCATATTGGATGCCTGCACTTCAGACAGACACTTAATTTACTACGACAAGCACTGACCCCTAGGCTTAACAAATTAAATTGTTAGAGACTTAACTAGGCAAAAGACGGCCGGCACCGTGGCTCACTAGGCTAATCCTCCGCCTTGCAGCGCCGGCACACCAGGTTCTAGTCCCGGTCAGGGCGCCGGATTCTGTCCCGGTTGCCCCTCTTCCAGGCCAGCTCTCTGCTGTGGGCAGGGAGTGCAGTGGAGGATGGCCCAAATACTTGGACCCTGCACCCCACGGGAGACCAGGAGAAGCACCTGGCTCCGGATCAGTGTGGTGCGCCGGCCACAGTGCGCCAGCCGTGGCAGCCATTGGAGGGTGAACCAACGGCAAAGGAAGACCTTTCTCTCTGTCTCTCTCTCTCACTGTCCACTCTGCCTGTCAAAAAATTAAAAAAAAAAAAAAAAAAGACATCTAGCCTTTAAGGAAAAAGGAAAAAAAGATGTGTATTTCATATGGAAGCAACATTTATTTTAGCCAAAAGGAGGAGGTCAGGCCTGAGTGGGGAATCCCAGGAGGGTCCCTGACTGTGTGTGTTGGGAAGTAGGTAGACAACAAGAATACAGACTACCTTAGAGAAAGGACTGTATCCAACAAAGCACACCAAAGGTTTATTGTTTGTCACATCTTCTATCCAAAGGTAATCTGAGAAGAGCATTTGACCCTTTCTTCCCAGGGGAATTGACTTTCCTAAAAGTCTCCATTTCAGCAAGTTAAGGAATTCCAGGGTGTGTAGCTAGATTGTTGTCTCTTTGTTCCCTGTGCTTCTCCTCCTTGCCTTATTATGCAGTGTAGAGGAAATTGGACCTCCCTGGTGAATAGAAGTGAGTTCAAGTCACTGGCCTAGCAGGACTGAGTCCCAACTCCCGTGTGACTTTTAACCCTTCTGGGTTTGGTTCACTTATCTGGAAACTGAGAGAGACTTCACAAGATAAGCCCCCTCCCAGCTCTGTCCGTCTCTGTCATTCTGTCAGCCTTAGAGCAAGAAGTAGAAAGTCACCCTCCTTGGCCTCCTGTATTCTACTTTTTCAAGTCATTTAGTCAATACATGTGCACCCGTTCTGTCCAGCCAGGAGCTCCAGGACACATGCAGGGCAAACCCCATGGTGATGATCATAGTTCTCTTTGCTTTCTGCATTGTAAAAAAAAAATGCCTGGTGCTGCTGCTTCTCTCCCCTCTGCATTCCAGTGATAACAGCTACTGTGAGGTTCATTATTCTTCAGATAGAGACGCTGTCTACATTTCTTTCCAAAATCTTAACTTTGACCTCAAAGTGAGCATGACCTGACTCCTAAATAACATGGGACTTATCAGAGATTTTTTTCACTGTTACTAGCATATGTATTGGTTTGCTAAATTGTTTATTGCTTTTGTAAATTAGAACAGATACAATTGTATTTTTGAGAAGAGTGGATTTTAATGAATACACTGAGAATTGTATGCATGTGTGAGGAGCCTAGGGTTCTGTGGATTACATGGAAAGATCCTATCTCATGTCTTTTCTGGAAGAAAATCAATTTCTTAAGTGATGGCACCATCCGTGATTATCTCTAAAGGTGAGCATTTCAGGCCACAAGGGTGTGCAGAGTAGTGGGAAGGAGAGCATTTTGACCCACTATGGGGTTAGGCTGACCCTAAGTTCAGTGGTTCTAGCTAAAACAGAGTCTGTTTGAAGGTTTGTGGTAAACCTATGGACAGGTGCTTCTTTTTATCATGTCTGATTTATTTTATTGGCTAGGAGTGTTGGCATGGTTGAGTTGATAAAATAAGTAGTTCCATGAATTTTATGTTTGAGGATGCCCAAAACTGATGATATGATTATCTCCAGAACATAAATATCTGTGAATATTAATAAAACAGTCTAGGACTCTGGGCTTACATCCTCAGATGGAGTCTCACTACATTTATAGTAACCTAAAGTCAGAAGGATGCAAGCAGATGGGTAAGGACAATGGTTGGCCACCACTGTATTCTGACAAACTGCAGCCAGGCCCTGAAAATAGTTCTTGATTAGGGAAGGAGGAGGCAGTGTGGTCTGAGTATGTCACTACAGAACAACTGAAAATTTGCCAGAAGCCCCAAAGCATCCCTCATTTGTCACACAAAGAACTGCATTGTGTAAATGCGTTTAGCTCCACATAAAGGAAGTGAGAGAGTCATTGATTTTGGATTTTGCAAGGTTTACAGCAAATGTCTAGGTGCACAATACTCTGCTATTGGCATTTAAAACAAAACTGGGGGCCGGCGCCGTGGCTCACTAGGCTAATCCTCTGCCTTGCGGCACCGGCACACAGGGTTCTAGTCCCAGTTGGAGTGCCGGATTCTGTCCCGGTTGCCCCTCTTCCAGGCCAGCTCTCTGCTGTGGCCTGGGAGTGCAGTGGAGAATGGCCCAAGTCCATGGGAGACCAGGAAAAGCACCTGGCTCCTGGCTTCGGATCAGTGCGATGCGCCGGCCGCAGCGTTCTGGCTGCGGCAGCCATTGGAGGGTGAACCAACGGCAAAAGGAAGACCTTTCTCTCTCTCTCTCTCTCTCTCTCTCTCTCACTGTCCACTCTGCCTGTCAAAAAAAAAAAAAAAAAAAAAAAAAACTGGGGAGGGGCAGGGAGTGAACTAGTCATGTGAGTTCACTGATAAAACCTCCTCTACCTCAACTTCATGGGCACACCAAGATACAAAGCAGATCACAGACATCCCTTTGCTCTTCAAATTGAGTGATTGCCCGTCTTCAGCATGTAATTCTTTAAAATCTAATGCCTGTCTTGGTTTTACGGCCAGAAAATCCATAATGGCGTGTTATTTGTTTCCTCTACTATGTAGAAACACTCTAGGAGCTAATTCACAGTGTCATTTGCTAAGCAACTATGTTATTGAAGATCTGAGATTTTCAGAGGAAAACAGTTGCTTAATTGATGTGGAGTCTTGGTGAGAGGGGGCTTAAAGGTGAATTCAGATGTATCATGGGCCTCCTCAGCTAAGCTCCATGGTTTCTTTGATGAACAGTGTTGGAAATTCTTGCCGTAGGAGTAGCAATTCCAGTGGGTAGCACACAGAGAGCTATGATTAGTGTTAAGGAGAATAAATCAAATGACACACTAATGTCATAGAGGTTGTTATGTCACTTTGACAGGCTGTATGTTGCCATTTTGTGTGTTGGCCAGCAAAGAATGGATTAATTAATCCCAGGAATGCAGTGAATATTATTTTGAACTATACTGATCCAAGATAACATTGATTGAGTTCCATGCTCTTCCATTTTGTTGGGGCTCAAAACACAAAACCTCAAAGTATGGCACCTTGGCATGCTGAGTACTTTAAACTGAAGAACATTAGGAGTGCCTGAGAAGCAAGGTTTCTATGAGCTTCTCCATCCCGTCTCCTGTCCCTCTTTCTCCTCTGAGTAATAGAAACCAGAATTTTTCACCAAGGCAGGTCACAGAAATTACAAATCCTCTCCCCAAAACAAGCCATACATGCTAGAATTCTCTCTCTTTCTCTCTCTCTTTCTCTTTCTCTTTCTCTTCCTCTTTCTCTTTCTCTTTCTCTTTCTCTTTCTCTTTCTCTTTCTCTTTCTCTTTCTCTTTCTCTCTTTCTCTTTCATCTCCCTTAATGCCTATTCCAGAGGAATCTTGCGCTATACGCAGATGGAGGAAGGTCAAGAAGAATCTAAAGAGTTTTGCTAGCTCCCCACCTCGGTCTGTTATCATTAGATCATGCCCTTTTATCCAGTCACATTTCTACATGACAATCCATTCCTCACTGAACCTAAGAATACAAATAGGTAGCTTCTCCTGGGTCTTTGAGTCTTCATTTCTTAAAAACTCCACAATCATATAAAATTTTGCATAAACATGATTATGCTCTTCTCTTGTTAACTTGTCATTTGTTACTGGAGTGTTGGCAACTGTGACCCTTATGATGGATGAAGGAAGGTATCACACTTTTCTGCCCCTACAACTTCTCAGTCAAAATAAACCTACTGCCTCTGTTTTTCGATTGTACCAGACTTCCTTATTCACTGAGATACCAGTTAACTAATGTGATAAAATCACCCTTGCCAACAGCATCATGGGGAAATGTTCATGGCTCAGCAGTCCCACCTCCATGAGGTCTGTTCTGCTCCTCTTCTCACACCACTCTGCCTGGTCTGTGCCACAGTCCTGGCTGTTTTTAACTCTGGATTTCCTTTCCCCTTCTTGTACATGCAGCTTTGCTCACGCGATTTCTCCTGCCTGGACCACACTCCTCCAGTGAATTTCCTGTTTGCAATGGCAGCCATCACTCATGCTCACACATCCAGTCTGTTGCTGCCGGCCCTCCTCCAGCCTCATCTCACGTGGTCTAATGTGAACTTCTCTGCATCTCACCACAATGACAACCCGGCGTTTGATGGTGTGTCCCCTCCTGTTGGAAGATGAGTTTCCTGAGTACAGGGACTGTGTCTTTTTATCTCTGTATCTTTATCACTAGCTCAGGACCTTGAACACCATGGACTTTCTACAAATAATTGTTAATTAATGAATTAAGGATTAAGAGAGGAAATGCATGGTTTGCTCCAATGAGTACTTAACCTTTCAAAGCATTCCAAAGGACCTCAATTGTGTAAGTGTGGAAAGTCTAATGGAAACAGAATCTTTGCCTATGAATCCATGAACCATGAATCTGTGGATTTTTTTTTAATGGTCAGTACCCTGTACCTACCTACCTTCATCACCACTGGGGCTACCAGTAACACATCATGGTATCAATTTCAGACTACAATGCGAGTTTGCCATCTGCTGGTCATGTGGGGTAGCACAGTGAAAGTTATGACAAGGCATTTTTTATTTTCTCCAGAATATTCTGGATTATTATAAGTAGGATAGGCTTAGGTTCCAACACAACCAACCATTTAAGTTTTACTCAAGGGGAAATCATTCCCCATGGAGCATGAATGATTACCCAAGACCATACAGCTAATCAGCGAAAGGGTCCAAACTCTAATCCAATTTTGATAAAACTAATTTTTGTTCTTAATCGTAATTCTGGATGCTAACAGAACACATCTGGCCAATAATGCTGACCTTAACATTTTCCAAAAGGAAATGGAACAGCTGAGACTTGTTCCAGGTTTCCTGCCAGGAATCTCTTACCTCCTTATGTAAAGCTCCCTGGATCCCAGAAAGCAGATCTGCTTTCTGTCCAAGGATTTCCTGCATCTGAAAACAGCTGTACAGGATCATGAGTAAAAGGCTAGACTTACAAAACTTGGAATTTCACACCAAAAAGTTAGGCAAAGATGTGGTGCAGGACGTGCATTGCATGCCTTTGGATTGTGTGCTGTCAGCAAGACTCAGGATTCAAAACACCACAGACGTTTGTGCTCTGAGCAGTCACGATCTTTAAATGGAAAAGCTGACAAACCCTCACGGAAAGAGCCTGGCCCTGCCATCCTAATCAGAATAGACAGGGTCAGGTAGGGAACCTTCCAGAAAGTTCCGTCCTGAACCTGGTGGAACTGGCTACCAGGACTTCCAGTGGGTCCATATTTTTATTTTTTAGCTGCTCCCTGGGACTGGATTAAACTATAGTCATCGTTTGATTATGTGGTTTGCATGGAAACATGCCTATTAACATTCCTGGGATCACTGCAAAGTCCAAACAAACCAAGTATCTCAGTACCTGCCAGGAAGTTTCATGTTTCCCCAGCAGTTCTGAGAACGGAGGACTCCGGGGACTGGACTTCTGAAAGAAAGATGATGTGGCTGCCTGAGCTTCTCTCTGGGTGCTTCCCATGAATTTCCCCAGAACTCTTGGTTCTGAATGTGCTTTTCAAAATGGTCTTTACTCAAAACAGTACTACCAGCTGATGAACAGGTCCCAGCTGGTCCTTCAATCCCACAGTTTGGAAAAGTCACACCTTTACTTTATACATCTGGGGCAGCTGTTGCCCAGCAAGCATGCTAAGGAAAACAGTACAGGGTTTTGAAGAGCTGAGAATCAACTGTGGTTCTATTTTAGTCTCTTCGGGATTGGGAGGAAAGAATTCTTCCTCTTGAAAATAAGAAACAGCTAAGGGAAATGTTAATCTTTTCTGTAAATCCTCTCTCATTATCATTTTCCCTCCACGTCAACCAGCACAGTGGAGATGGGTGCTCACTGCTGGCCCACCCACACACATGATCTAGAAGGTCATTCGTTTAAAACTAAACCCGTGCACACCCTTCCCATCTCAACAGAGTGCTCATGGCCACAGGTAATGGCACTGTCTGGATGTCAGAGTGGTAGAGGACATGTCTAGGTATCAGAGACTTCTTGGAGAAGAAAAGAACAACGTTGCTATTTACTCAGAATTTCGGTGTGTGGTTTACATGAGGACTGAGAGGTCCAAATGAAGCACCCAAAGCCAAATGAAAGTGCTTTGGCCTTTACTGCTGCCCCTTCATCCCTCTTGAGAAAGAACTCTGAGTTCTTGGAAACCCTGGACTCCAAACTATGCTCTGGATCTACCCCAATAGCATAGAGACCCTGCTCAATGTGAGTGACAATTCTCCCATTGCAAGACCTATGAGGGCCTAAACAGTACTCAGTCGTCTTTGTCATCGCTTCTTTGATCCATACCAAGGAGATGCAGGGGACTGGAGTGCCTGGTTTCCTCTCACCAGCCCTCCCATCCATCATTCCCTATCTGCCGACATATTTCCCTTTATTTCCACCTGCTCCTACTTGTAGCTCCATTGACTCCAAATTCATTTTCATCTCTTCCCCAATGCACAGTGCTATTTCATAGACATCAATCAAGATCAAAGAGTACAAACTAGCCTTGTAGACAAGATTTGAAACACCAAGTTCAATAAAGTTACTGACTGGCCTTAATCCTTTTTTTTTTTTTTTTTTGCACTGTAAGTATGATATGACAGTGGTATTTTCATGCTGAAAGTAGCATACATACTACATTCTTGAGAATTTTCACTTTTACCAGAAATTTTTGCCTTATTGAGAATGTGATTTAATTTAGACTTTGCTTAAATGATTTCAAAATACATTAGTAGCTTGATTTCATTCATAAAGACAATCTGAAACATTTGTTTTAAACAAAACAAAAACAGTACTAATGGTGTTTTAAAATGTAGGCTGTTGGGGTCAGTGTTGTGGCATAGTGAGTAAAGCCACTGCCTGCACCACCCGCATTCCATATGGGTGCCAAGTTGTGTCCCAACTGCTCCACTTCCAATCCAGCTCCCTGCTAATGGCCTTCAAAAAGCGGTGGAAGATGGCCCAAGTGCTTGGGCCCCTGAAACCACGTGGGAGACCCGGAGGAAGCTCCTGGCTCAGCCGTGGCCCTCTGGCCACCTGGGTAGTGAACAAGAAGATGGACATTCTCCCCCCTCCTACCCCCTCCCGCCATGTGTGTGTAATTCTGTCTTTCAAATAAATACACCTTTAAAAACAAAATGTGGGCTCTGGCCCTAGACTTTCTGGGCTCCCATTTGCCACTGCTGAGCTAGAAGAGTTGTGTAACTTACTCAACCTCTCCAAACCAGTTTCTTTATTTATAAATCCAGGTAACAATAGATTTCCTCTAACAAAGTAGTGCAATTAGATTATACACAAATGTACATAGCATACTGTCTGTTGATTTGTCAATTGTGTAATGTTTAATTCTGTATTTAAATATGGTAAGCATTTAAAATATATCTCATTTAATCCTGATAACTCTAGAGTATGGGCATCATTGTCCCCATTGTGTAAAACCCTGATTGTCCTGAAGATATAACTTTCTAGACAGCTTTCTCAAGGAGAATTTGCTCAACCACATACCCACATGCCACATATCCACATACTCTTCCTTGAGTCCTCTTTGCCATTATGATTTACCAAATCTGGGTGTCTATACTCAGCTCCTCACATTGATATCCTGGGTAAATTCATTATCTATATTGATACCCAGCTTCCTAACTGCTCACTTCCTTGAACTCTTCATCTCCAAGGATCTCTACTCCAAATTTGGGTCATAGGTTTTCATTGCCTTTCTCTGGACCTTATTATCACTCAGAAAAGTCGCTCTACCTTCCAAATCAAGAACTCAGACACCTCATAGTCTATATCCTTCTAGGTGGTTCATTCAGTTGTTTATATCAAACCAGTTCGTTGACCATCCTTAAAATTTCTGTTATTCATTGACTCACAATACATCCCTTCACTTCTTCTTTTTTTTTTTTTTTTAGGATTTATTTATTTATTTGAAAGTCAGAGTTCCACAGAGAGAGGAGAGGCAGAGAGAGTCTTCCATCTGATGGTTCACTCCCCAATTGGCTGCAATGGCTGGAGCTGTGCCAATCCAAAGCCAGGAGCCAGGAGCTTCTTCCTGGTCTCTGACATGAGTGCAGGGGCCCAAAGACTTGGGCCATCTTCTGCTGCTTTCCCAGACCAAGCAGAGAGCTGGATAGGAAATGGAGCAGCCAGGTCTCAAACTGGCGCCCATGTGGGATGCTGGTGCTTCAGGCCAGGGCATTAACCCACTGCACCACAGCGCCAGCCCCTGCTTCCTTTCTTTATCCTACTTATCTTCAATATTTGGTTACTATAACCACTCATCATATCTACTTGACCTCTTTCAGTAAATCCAGCCATTGACCAAGATTGCTAAGTTTCATTGTAGCAAATGCACCAGGGCTGACTACTGTCATTATGTATTCATGGTCAACATGCTCAACAGGATGCAGGCACTGCCAAGAAATTCTACTGAGTTTTTAATCACTTCTCTCTGCTCTTCTCCATGGTAAGGGTTCCATACCTTCTCCACTCTTCAGTCCTCCAACTTCCTCACAACCCCTAGTACTCCTGCCAATGTAAGAGAGGAGCCCATCTTTCTAACTGAGAATTATTCCAACATCTCTGCTTTATCCCAGAGGAATCTTGCTTTATAAACTAGCCCTTCTTCCTCTGTCTTGAATCTCTTGCTGTCTGTTGCATATACCCCCCCCCAAGAGCTTTCAAATATGCTAAAGCCTTTTTCATCGCTTAAACCTCAAGACAACCCTGGAAATCCTAGTAGCCTATTTCTCTTTCACAGCTGAGACGATGGAGGCTTGCGGAGATGTAGGACGAAGGAGAGTAGGGTCTGAACCCAGGATACTATGTCCATGCTTAGTGCCTTTCGTGACAACGCCATGCTGTATTGTGTAGCAATTGATTCAACCTAAATATTAAGAGGCTCTCCATGGACTGGGGAGATCTCTCTAAGTGCCTTCACCAGAGGACTGGATTGATTTCTTGGCAAGCCAGTGTGCTGATCAATGCTCCAACATCATGACTCCCCCTAAGGCCCCAAATGATAAAAAGAAATAGATGAACAGACCGAATCTGTTCTTTGGTTGCTCCGCCTATAAAGTGTAACTGACAATCCATCTTCTTCCCACCTTCTAGTATCATCCTCCTCCTACTCGCCACCTCTATTCTCTTCAGCAGTATAATGAAGATGGCCAATCTTCCCCCCATGGAAAGCTTTCAGTGGCTGTGGGGGCAGGTGCTACATACATGCCCAATATAGCCATCTTTTTTGGGAAGCTAATCCCCTGCCTGTGCTGACAGACAACTGTGATGTGGATGAAGCTGAGTGCATTTTCCTCAGAAAGGAAAAAAATAGAGCCAGGAGGAGGAAAATTATTTAAGCATCTGGGGGGAAGACTCAGAGAAGACCTGAGCACAAACACGGCCAAGCAACTAAATCATCAGCCTCAGCTGCAGCCACGTGTGTCTGCCCTTCGTTGGCATCAGACCAGGAGGAAACAAGGAGGCGTGCAGAGTGTGGGAGGTTATTAAAGGAAAGAGAACTAGACGTGGGGATGAAGTGAGGGGAGTGGGAGCCTTACAAAGAATGCAAATAAGATTAAAACTAGAGCAACATAGGCCAACGAAGCTCACCTCTCTTTGTCAAAAAGGGGGGATTGAGGACTTAGAGCCTGGGTGTCACTGTTTGGTCCTTGAATGTTACTTTTCCAGCAATGACAGTAAAATCTCTTAAAAACAAAACAAAAAAAACCTGAGACTGAAATGCAAAAATTATTTTGCATTTAAAGGAGTAAAGGGAAATTCTGGGATGATATTATTTTAGAAACTAACCTGATGTAAAAGCTAAAACTTGTGGCCGGCACTGTCGTGTAGCAGTGCCGGCATCCCATACAGGCGCTGGTTCATGTCCCGGCTGCTCCACTTCTGATCCAGCTCCCTGCTAATGTGCCTGGGAAAGCAACAGAGGATGGCCCAAGTGCTTGGGCCCCTGCGCTCACATGGGAGACCCCAAATAAGGTCCTGGCTCCTGCCTTAGACCTGGCCCAGCCCCAGCTGCTGTGGCCATTTTGGGAGTGAATCAGTGGATAGAAGATCTCTCTCTTTATCTCTCCCTCCCTCTCTCTCTCTCTCTCTGTAACTCTCAAATAACTAAATGTTTAAATAATAAGTAAAAGTTAAAGCTTAAAAATATATACAGAGAGGCCGGCACTGTGGCGCAATAGGTTAATCCTCCGCCTGCGGCACCGGCATCTCATATGGGTGCCGGTTCTAGTCCCGGCTGCTCCTCTTTCAATCCAGCTCTCTGCTATGGCCTAGGAAAGCAGTGAAAGATGGCCCAAGTCCTTAGGCCCCTGCACCCACATGGGAGACTGGGAGGAGGCGCCTGGCTTCTGGCTTCAGATTGGTGCAGCTCCAGCGGTTGCAGCCATTTGGGGAGTGAACCAATGGAAGGAAGTGCTTTCTCTGTCTCTCCCTCTCACTGTCTGTAACTCTACCCTCAAATAAAAATAAATAAAATCTTAAAAAAGTATATATGGAAGCAGGTCAGTAAAATCCACAGTTTTTTGCTATGGAGCTATGATGTTGGGCAAGTCACTCAATCTTTCTGCTGTAAGCTTCCAGGCTCTCAAACTTATGGCGGTTGACTAGATTAGTTATTCTCAAACTGTGGGTTATGTTCCATTACGAATCACTCACTTAACGACAGCTCTTCCTAAGGAAGATGGACTGAATGTGGAGGCAGTGTAGAGAGAGAACAAAAGCTTCAGAAACACTGTACTCTCTCAAAGATTCTTCTCTAAGATATAGAAAAAGATACTTTAAAGAACTGAATTGGGACAAATTTCTTCTTTATGAATTCTTCTAATTATGTTGACAGAAGGGAATATATGTGGCATCTGTCACATCTTAAATATTTTATTTATTAATTAGAAAAGCAGAAAGACACAGAGATAGATATTTCACACCTGCTTGTTCCCTCCCCAAATGCCCACTGCAGCCAGGACTGAGCCAGGCTGCAGTCAGGATCCAGGAACTCAGTCTGAGTCTCCCACGTGGGTGGCAGAAACCCAGTAACAAGTCACCGCCTGCTGTCTCCCAGGGTGTGCATCAGCAGGAAGTTGGAATCAGAAGCAGAGCCGGAACTTGAACCCAGGCACTCTGCTATAGGATGTGGGTATCCCAAGCAGCACCTTCACTGTTACACCAAATGCTGTGGGGCCCTGAAATAGCTGGATTTGCAGATGGAAGAGGGAGGCCACTAGCCAAGGAATGTGGGCAGCCTTGCGAAGCTGGGAAAAACTAGAAAACGGATTCTCCTCTAGAGCCTCCAGAAAGGAGCCAGCCCTGCCACATCTTGTTGTAGAGCCCTTGAGACCCTGTCAGACTTCTGAGGCAACAGACTGTAAGATGACAAATTTGTGTTGCTTTAAGGACTGAGTTTGGGGTACTTTGTTGTGAAAGAATTATTAAAACAAATGCCCTGCCTGCCTGGCCCCCAGGTCCACTTACACTCTGCGCTTCCACGTTGTAGCACATCTAGGTTTCTTGCTTCCGTGTTTTGGTCCATGTTGCTTCCTCTACCCAGAATGTATTTCTCAGTCTCTTCTCTTCTCTCCTGTGCCCCATGCCATGTGAAGCACTCTTCTGTGAGCTTAGCTCCGGCATCCCTGTTGTAAGTACCAGAGCTAACTCTTTCTCATTCCCCAGGGTAGACTCTATCACTCCATCTCTCTGTTCCCACTGTAGCAGGTGCAGATGTCCAATATGGCCCTGTACTCAGAGTAACTGCAGACTGTCTCCCCTCCCTAGAACGCACATCCTTCAGGGGCTGGGATCCTAGTGAAGTGCCTATCAGTAGGCCCGTGATGAAAAAAAAAATGAATGAGACCCAAGCTTTGGAAAAACACATATGTTTAGTATGTTAACTAAATACCAAGCCAAACAGGATAACAGTTATAAAATACTCTGAATGTACTAGCAACCCTACATTCTATTACTATTCCATCATTTCTTACATTTTCAAAATGCTTGTTCAATATAGTCCTACATGGTTTTGAACACCATTAGCAGCCAAGATACTACCACCCTTCATACCTGGAGGCACATAAACATTCACAGAGCATCCTAATAACCAAATGTTTTACTATGATTTGTTTTAAAATATAAAGTTGGAACCGAACAAAACTCAGTTATTGGTCATTGTTGTTGTTCCTAGGGAAATTTCTTTACTTTCTCCCCTTTTGACACCCAGTAATTCTGTTCTCTCCAGCTGGGACTGTCTTCTGTATTCAGTATGTCCCAGGTTCCCAG